AGCTTTCGGGTTCAAAAACCCTTCATCAGGCTAAGAAAGTTTCAGCAGTTGGTGTGTGCTCTTCCTGGATGGAATGAAAAGTAAAGAAGCCAGAGGCTGGTATGGTATGTATGCAAGACAGGTAATCAGTGAAAATGTAGATTGAGGAGTCAATGGGTGAGAGAGAGAGAGGCTGCGGGGGGGCAGAAGAGAGAGAAGGGGGATGAAAGTGAAGAGAGACCTGGGGAGTCAGATGTCAGGCAGGTTATAATGTGTCATAAATCCAATGTCTATACTTAGTCCATGATTTTTAGTATCCCGGAGGTTGATGAAATGGAGTTCATAGGCTCGTCTCTGGCAAGTGTTTTGTAAATTTCCTTTGAGGATCAGGACAGAGATTGGAGAGAGAGTGGCTTTCTTGTGAGAAATGTGCCCCCACAGGTAACTGGGTATTTCTGTCTTTGATAGATTTCCCCAGCCTGTCTCTCACCCATTGACTCCTCAATCTACATTTTCACTGACTGCCAGTCTTGTATGCATACCAGCCCAGCCGCTGGTTTCTTTACTTTTCATTCCATCCAGGAAGAACACACACCAACTGCTGAAACTTAAGGGTTTTTTAACCTGAAAGCTTGCTTAATAATTATTTTCCAACTATCTGGGTTGGTCTAATAAAAGATATCAGATTCACCCAAGGAACTTTGTCTGCCTATGTCCTTAGACCAACACGGCTACAACCTACACCCCTGTTACATACAAACATGCACACACACACAACCTATTAATTTTTATTTTTGAATTTGTACACCATAATATCTGACATAGTAAAATAATGTCAGATCAAAATACCCCCTCCACCCAGTAGATTTCAGAAAAGCTTTTCCAGAAAAATGCATCCAGAATGCATAGGAACAGGAAGAAATTAAACAAAACAGAGTTGGAACTTACTAATTAAAGTACCACAAAGAAAAAGTGAAACACAAACAACTCTTTAGATACTATAAATATGGATAGTACATGCTTAAATTTGGTAGGCATATAATAATCCATAACTTTATACCTATTTACTGACAAAAATAATCTGATTGACAACCCTTTACAAATTGTGTCAGTTAACATACAAAATTACTGTTTAAAAAAAAAAAAAAAAAAAAAAAAAAAAAAAGATCAGAGGTGATCTCTGTAATCTGTGAAATACTCTTCTACTGAAAAGGAGATCCCCGATTGCCCTCAAGGCTATAAAAGGTAGATTTAAACATTCACCAACAGCAAGACATTGTTTACATATATGGAAAGCACAAAACCTTTATGTGGTTAATGATCTAGAATAGACTTTTTATATTGAAACAGAAGTTGTGTGAAATTGCTATGGGCATTTTACAGGCTAGTGGTATATAAATGGGGAAAAAAATTAAGTCTTATTCTAGAGATTGTTTCAGGCAGCATGGACAAAAATCAAAGAAGATTACCTGGTAGCTAAAGGTCTACAGCCATTTCTGCCTACCCTGTCCAAGTTACTGACCAACTTGAGAGACAAGTATACAAACATCTGAGAAGAAGTCTTCTGATGAAGAACACCCTTGGAAAAGTTAAGAAGCCACGTACAGAAATGCATATTAAAAAACTACATAATATGTGGGAGTGAATCTACTCTCCCCTAGATACCTTCTGTTCTTTCCCTATCAGCTTAATTAAAGCATACACCAAACCTGGGTGGCTTGGGTGGTCCAACCTCCTCAGTCTGCAATGGGTTACCAATTTGAGAGCAAGCCTCTCAGCTGATTGCTGCTGCCTTTACTTCAAAGAGTGACATTTCCCTGATCAGCTCTGCAGGACAAGTGATGAGCTCCAGCTGTTGGGAAAAGGGACATCCTTTGAAGTAAAAACAGCAGCAATCAGGTGCAGCACCTCAGCAGTTCCACACAGCAAACACAGCTGCTGTTTGCTGTAGCTATGTATAGCCCTCAGCAAGTTTGCAAGCCCCCACTTTCACAGCCAGGTAAAACACTTCACACTGCAAAAATCCTGGGTTCTACCTGTATAAGCCAGGGATGCATGCATAAAGAAGAAAAATTAAAATTTCAGGCATTCCATCCCAGCCCCATGTGGTAACCAGCATCCAGAAGCATGGGAAATGCCTATAAAAGAACACAGGAACAGCTATGCCTAGGTCAATGACAAGTGGCTGTCCAACCTCTTTTTGAATGCCTCTGATCATGGCAGGTCCACAACTTCCTGAGGCAGCCTATTCCACTGCCTCACTGGTCTAACAGTGAAGTTTTTTCCGATAGCCAATCCTGGCTGCATGCAGGCTCCATGTCTGTCTGCATACATCACGCCCCCCCTACCCCCAGCTGCAGCTACCCGGAGCCTGCACCCAGGCTGCCCTGCGGCCCTCTGCATTGCCCCACATTTGAGAGGGCTAAGCCCCATTAGCCCCAGCCTTCCACCACCTATGGCAGTGTGCCGGCCTGCTGCGTGTCCGTGGGCAAAGTATCATTTTTCATGGAATATTCACAGAACTACTGGGACCCATTTGCCAAAATCAATTGTAGTTCCATAAACATTCCATGAAAAATAATAATTTACCCATGCACGTGCCGCAAATTTTCAACAAAAAAAATCCACAATTTTCTCAGGGCCCTAGCTATATCCACAGCATTCGCTTCATCTACCGAAGGAGTTATTTTGACAAAGAAGATCAAGTTTGTTTGACATTACTAGGTTTTTGACAAATCCATGCTGGGTACTTGAAATCAGACTTTTTTCCTCCAGATGCTTGCAAATGGACTTTCCTTAGGATATGTTCCAGTAACTTCCCACATACTCTGATGAGTTTGAAGTTCCTCAGGTC